TAAGGTTGCTGTGAGCAGTGATATCACAGCACTCTACCCAGGGTGACAGGTTGAGACTGTCTCAAAAAAATAAAAAATAAAATAAAATAGATTTTTCCAATTTATGTAAACTTTGATTCTTCATTCTTTCAGTACCATTTTCTTGGTTACCACAGAGATGGAACTTTGGTGTATTTATTGGCCTTTCATAATTCTTGGTATATTGTTCTATTCTTTTTTTCTCTTAGGTCATCTTTTTTCCTTGCTCATTTATAAGAAGCCTTTATATATTAGGTCTATCTATCCCTTAGTACATGTATCAAGAATATTTTAGCTTGTTTGTCTTTTATTTTTTTATTTTTATTTTTTGTCTTTTAATTTAATATATATATATTTTTTGAGACAGAGTCTCAATCTATCGCCCCAGGTAGAGTGCTGTGACATCACAGCCCACAGCAACCTCAAACTCTTAGACTTACATGATTCTCTAGCCTAGGTAGCCTCCCAGGTAGCTGGGACCATAGGCACCCACCACAGTGCTCAGCTATTTTTTGGTTGCAGTTGTCATTATTGCTTACCAGGCCTGGGCCAGGTTTGAACATGCCACCCTAGGTGTATGTGCCTGGCACCCTGTTGACTAAGCTATGGGTGCTGCCTAATTTGATTTCTATTGATTTTTTATTTTTAATTTTATTTATATTTTGGATATAGAGTATATTGCTTTTCTATGGGCCACATTTTTCCATTTTTGTCATACAGGTAAATACTTATCCATTTTTGTCCTGTCCATTTTGCACCATGCTTAGAAAGGTCTTCCTTAACCCTAAAATCAATAATTTGTCAATATTTTATTATTTTGTGGGTTTTGTTTTTTCCTTTTTAGAGATAGAGTCTTGCTCTATTTCCTGGACTTGAGTGCAGTGGCATCATCATAGCTCACCAGAGCCTGGAACTCCTGACCTCAAGCCATCCTGCCTTAGCCTCCTAAGTAGCTGAGACTATTGGCATGCACCATCATGCCTGGCTAATTTTTCTAGTTTTTTGGTAGTGATAGGATCTCACTGTTGCCCACACTAATCTTGAATTTCTGGCCTCAAGAAATCCTCCTGCCTTGGCTTTCTGAAGTGCTGGGATTACAAGCATGAGCCATGCCAGTTTTGTGGTTTCATTTTTTGTATTTAATCCTTTAATCAGTTTAGGTTTATTTTATTTATTTATTTATTTTTGAGACAGAGCCTCAAGCTGTACCCCTGGGTGGAGTGCTATGGCATTACAGCATACAGAACCTCCAACTCCTGGGCTCAAGCAAGTCTCCTGCCTCAGCCTCCCAAGTAGCTGAGACTTCAGGCGCCCACCATAGTGCCCGGCTATTTTTTGGTTGTAGCTGTCACTGTTGTTTGGC